GAGTAATATAACATTGCATTGGGATATATGAATCGTTCTTCATTTTACGTCGTTATTTTGAATGCCAGTCAAGATAAAACGGCACTGTTACAAAATTCATGATATAGTGCTGGAATCTGGCATTTCGTGGGAATGTGGTTCGTGCGGTTTTACAAACAATTGACTTGATCTGGAAATCAATACTCGACATCGGTCATAAAAAATTGTTTGTGCCAACAATACTCTAGCCTGTATTTCACGTGCATATATTCGGAAACTTTTGAAATTGTCTCAGGAATACTTAACGGTACATCCTTATTAATTAGTCACCCCACATTGTATTATCGACGCCGCTCTCGTTAACATCGTGTTATGCCATAATACAGCTCATCAAAGGTGCGATGTTTTCGAACCTATTCCAAATTCCGCACAAGAGACGTGCAACGACTCCCGACAAATCGGTTCGTGTATTATTTATTGGAGCAACCTACACGGCGTCGTTCTTCTTCGGAAATAGATTCTGGGGCACTTTAGTTCCAGCTTTCCGTAACGAGAAATATTCACGAACCCTTTTCCTTCGACTTTGACGAATCTCGATAGGTTTTTAGAACACATGAGAATCACTTTGCCAAGTTCCTTTGTTTCTATTATACCATTTGAAATTAGGGATTAAAACTATCTTGCGAAGCTATCGATACCATCACAGCTCTGAAATAAAACTAGCACAATAAACGTATTATTCGAGAAATAAAAATGTTATTTTTTATAATTTCTGATTTATTGTTAGTTTTGCAGATCAACTTCAACTCCAAAATTAAATTTATTAAGAGAAAAATTAATATACATATATATGTTCGCTCTATAAATATTCCAAATGTATCCAAATCAGAGAAGGAGACAGTTCGCGAAGGTATAAGTCGAAAAGTACCGATCTCGTCTGTCGTGTTCGGGAATAGATTAGCGAATGTCAGAGCTGAATGCGAAATGCTCTTTGAAGATTCAATGAAGGATGATAGATCCAGTGGATTGCGGTAATGCCTCGACAGCCGCTTGAAAGTGGTTGCGCGAACAGATGCACGACTTCTCTCGAATTTTCCTCGTGACTATGCAAGACTTTAAAATTCTAAGATTGGAGAAGTGTTTCTCAACTTCTTCAGTTTAATATAAAATCAAATACAACGAAAAAAGAGATATGAAAGGAATGATAAAGTTAATGTATCTTGTTATATTAATTAATCGGCATTTAATTAACAGCACGTGAAAAATAATTGAAAAACAAAGGATTAAAAGTGAAAAATGAATATACAAGAGAAAGGAAAAACTAAAATCAATATCGTTTAGCATACTTTATACATATTGTTTATCGAACTATGTGTTCTACTTGTTAAAAGTACTTTGTTAAAAGTACGAGGACTACCTTAACACTTCCTCGATGATTGCGGTCTAACTTTCGTTTGAACCCAACTTTTTTGATATGCGCGTTTTTTATAAGACCATGTTACATGAAGAGAGAAAGAGTGAGTGAGAGAGAGAAAGACAGAATATATAGCTTCGGGGGATTCCACAATTGCAAATTCTGTCCTCGAATTTCATTATAGCTTTCTTACGTATAATATAATTTGTCTGATTTTATAAACACGTTTTATGTTAATGCCTTTAACAATCGAGAAAACTGTATAGGAAGATTATTACGGAACTTGAGAGAGAGAGAGAGCGATTACGGCACGTACGTACGTTGAGAATCTCTGACGTGCACGATAGAATTTAATCTATTTCGTCATTTCCATAACATCGTCTATAAGCCGTACCCGGTTCACGTCTCATCGATTGCTTTCTCCAAGATCGATCCGCGTCAGAACCGAGACGAAATCTAATCCGAGTATTTGGTGCGCTTAATTAGTCGGGGAGTCACAATATTCGCTATAATATGGAGAGACTACCCGGACCCTTGCCAGCCGGCACCGCCGCTATGTTTTGCCGCTGTTGTTTACGACTACGTGCAGCACGTCGTCGTAGAATGTCCCGGATTTGCGGGACAGCATTCCGTACGTACCGAGTTGTACCTGATCGAGATTTAACGCAGCGCGCTCTAATCCGAGGCAAATGTAGCTGTATATTTAAACGGTTGTCAATATCGGATATTCATAATCTGTTGACAAGCGCTATTACCTATCCACATATTACGTCCGCGTGCTCTTCTCTTCGGGTACTATCATAGTCTCTCTATTTTCCCTGTCAGTTATACAGATACCGCAACAAACTGCTCTTGCAGAATGCTTAATAGCAAAAGTTAGATACAATTTTTAAAATAACTAGGTAACGAAATTAAACTTCATATGGACTTTAACGGAAACTTAATAAGGAATTAACTATCAAGATAATCATAATAAACTTTAGAAATTCTTGAAAGTTTCATTCGACGCGTACCTTTCGTGAAACAAGTTTCCCTAAAGTATGCAGATCTCTTTTTCGCGAGATAGTGTGTCAATAGTGTAGAGCATTGACACTTACTCAAAATGAAGTCTCAGACAGACTCCGAGATGCGATATCAAGATATTTCGCATGCCAAAGAGAAAGTGCAAAGGAGACATTCCGTCTCGCACTTGACGGCGCGTTATATGAAAGACGCATTACGCTTTTATTTACATTTCTCCATCTTTCTCTTCCGAGGGGGAAAAAGAAACTCCCGTCCCTCCTACGCGAATTTAGTACGGGATGCACCAGATATAGAGCGCTGAATAAGTGCTGAATCAAAGTTTTGGATTCAACTGAGCATGTTGGCCGCGAACTCGAAGCACGTGCACAGCTCCTCCGAACGGGGCGTAAAACTATTCCGGAATCGCGTTCTCGGAGTAATAAAGAAAAAATCCGAGAAGACTAGATAGAGATAGAAATATCCCGTTAAAGTAGGACGTTAGAGAAATTGTCATTTATACGAGTTCAACGTTTATATAAAAATGTATGCTCTTTATTTTAGAGGATAACATTCTTTCTCTCTCTTTAGCTGATATTGTTTAAAATAGGGATTAACAAAATTACACTTATATTTTTCTATTACATTTTAATTTTACTTATGTCTTGCATACTAACGAGACTTACCACGCGTAAGTGAGAACGATAATAATTTATTTAAAAATAAAAGTGGGTAAGTTATTTCGAGAAAGATTTTCATATGATCACGGATGAAAACTATGTTTTTCACGCATAACACCATGGAGCGTTTTCCACCGAGGTCATTCATATAGAGATCTCATTGTCTAACTCTCAGCTATTTGACGGATTAATTGAAATGCCATAGTGATTAAACGTGTAATGATTATACTATGGCATTTATCCCCGTTTCAACTCCCCTCAATTAATGAGCTAAATAACTCAGAATGGGCTATTACAAACGGCAATTTAGAACTGTGTCAAGTATCACATGATATCATCTAACGAAATATGGATAAAACAGTATCTCAGTGTATCCCTTTAAACAGAATTTTATTTTACAAAATATATCCAATCTTCTTTTTATTTAATTTAATTATAAGTCTAATACAATATGAATTAGCTATTTCGTGAATGCGATTACTAATGAGTCCTTTTCTCGGATATAAGCAGCGAAACATGAATTTCCTCCCGGATGAAACATATTGCATATCTCCGCCCACTTAGCTCTCTAATTTAGTCCTCTAGCATAGCGCGACCGTCGTCGCAGCGTGCAGAATCGCCGATGTCTTGTTCGTCGACGACTCTCTCTCTCTCTCTCTCTTTCTCTCGCGCGCGCGTCTCTCCGCGTCCTCATAAGCCAGGTGTACCTACTCACGGCGGGACCTGCACATTCCGACGATTCCGCGTTCTGCGTTACGCGGTGACACAGTATATTGACTGAGGGTGGATTGTGCGCCCCCCACGACTGATTTGGCGCGGCTGCGCAAATCTGGGCCCCGTGGCGGCCGCGGCCGTCGGCCTCCTCGTATACCCATTGCTTTCCCCGCGTATGTATCGCATGTAGCACGTTCGCGCGCGAGTCGTGCGGGTGCCTGTCTCTCTCTCGTCCTGCTTTGCCCTCGCGAGGAATAGCTGTCCCGCTGTCCCGCCGCCACCGCCGCCGACGCCGTCGTCGACGCCGACGCCGACGCCGACGCCGACGTCGTTCTCTCTCTCTCTCGCTCTCTCTCTCTGCACCCTCCGTCGTGCACTCTCCCTCCTATCTCCGATCGTCCGTTTCCCTCTCTTTTTCCCAACCCGCTTCTCGCTTCCTCGACTCTTCGTCTACTCGCGCTCCACGTTCCTCCCTTTCTCGCCGTTCCGTCTCCGATCGCGCTCCTCTCTCCCGCTGGACCGTTTTCCGCATCCGTCGCACCGAGAGCGCCCGTGATTACACACGTGTACACAAACGCGCGCGGACCGAAACGTTAAAACGCGACAGCGACGTTATATACCGGGGAACGATAAAAACATGTCGATGACAGGTCCAGCGCAGGACGTACCGATACGTCGGTGCCGGCCCGTGGCGAGATAACGCGCGCGGAATATAACGGAGTGCGCGAAAATCGGCGCGCGATTCGAGACCGCGCGACGCGGCGCGGGAACTCCGTCAGAGGCCAACGGAAGCGAGTGACGTGAGGAGCGCGGTATCGTTCTGGTCGAAGGAAACGGTCCGAGAACGTTTCCTCGTTCTCATCTCCTCACGGCGAAACTGAAACCACCAACCCTGCGACCGGAAAGACAGTGAAACCGCACGGCGGAATCGGTGGGTGAATCTCCTAGTGGCCGGGGTGCACCTGTGTCCGTAGGTGTGTACGACGTCGGTTGGTCAGCTCCGGTGGTCAGCGGAGATAAACGTCCTCTCCCGGGCTCGCCGTGTATGTGCGGGGAGTGTGTGTTGACCGGCGCGACAGTTCCGACCGGCGGGAGGTCGACCGGAAGCGGTAAACTAGGTGATACCGTCCGCGGGGAGCTGCTGGTAGTGGCAGAGCCTGCTAGTGGTCTGGGTCCGTTGTCTATATCGGGCCGGCTCTCGTTTATGTGATGAACGTGGTTTAATGGTTGATCCGCTAAAACTCTTCTGGGTTATTACCAACAGCACCTACCTGGGTACGTCCCCGAAATTACACTCGCCTTCGTCCGCGAAGAGCCGTTTGGCCACACACACACACACACACACGGGGAAAGTGGGGCACGATTATGCGCCCGTTTGTTCATGCGGGAAGAATAGTTTACCAATTCAACAGCGTGTGTAATATGGCGAAAGCCGCAACAGCCGCTGGAGCGTAATCTAAGCGCATTTGCGATGCCGCCGTCAAGGATTTCATTTCGTTGCACTTTGCGCGATTGTTCCCCGTTTTCCCCTACGCGTACGATATCCTCCAATATCGTACAATAAGCGCGCGTTGTCAGTGATATCGTATATTCTAATTTCTGTCCCGCAATATTTTAAGGAGATCTAGATCTCTTAGAGAAGAGTGGAATTCTTCCTTGAAGATGGACTCATTCGTCTTCATATTTTATACACTCGATTATTTCTTTCGTAGAAATATGATGGTTGAGTCAATGGTTTAAAGTCAATCGTTTAAAGAGGTTTTTCAATCATTGGGAATATACTCAGAATTTTCAATTATTGAACATTGATCGCTTCCATTTAATACGTCAATAATAATTAAACGGATGTGATAGCCAGCCGGTCACAGTTACTTCTAGGCATTTCTTCGGTGGCAGGTTCTTTAACGCATTAAAGCGTATTTTAAATGACTTTTCGTTCACGCCAATTGAATTATTTTATATTAAAAAGAACAATGAGACATCTAATTTGACAAATTTATGTGACTGTCACCCCCTGACGGTGAATGTGTTAAATTTGCAACAAAATTACAAAATACCATGGTTTATAATGAGCGATAGCGCGAAGAAGTGAGCAAAGTAATCTTTTAATGAAGGATTATTATCACTGAGGAAATTGTGCAATATCGGCTGGTGTATGCGAAACCCGTTTGAGCCTCGGTTACACGTTCGATCCTAGTAATCCGCCTTTCCGTTACATCCCGTTCGGTAACACGATCGCAACGACAACACAGGGGATGTTTTGCAACGAGCGGATCAACAACAAAAACAACCTCATGGGCATCTCGCGGAATGTTGCAGAGTGGAATGAACGGAAATTGACGGAACAGGACCGCCGCTTTGTGAAATTTGCTACCGCGCCTCGACGGTCTCGTTTTTGTCCAAGAAGAACAGAGCGATGTCAAGAGCAGTGACAAATCCTATATAGTATATTCGTAAAAGCGGGGCTATATTTTGAAAAGGAAAGAGAGAGAGAGACACAGAGAGAGCTGATGATCGAATTTGATTATTCCACCGATATCGCGAAACTGCGAAAGTTCGTCGCAAGTACGAAACAATGGCGCGACGATGCGAATTTTAATGACAGACGCGACGACGACGTCGCTCGCTCTCTCGCGAATTTTGCATGTACGTCACGCACGTCGACAAATTGCTCGCACACGACCTGATGAATTAATACGTTCGCGGGCGCGAAACAAGGCTGCGTTTGATTCGGGCAGGAAATCAAGTCAAGTTCCGTGTTTTTGCCGCTAAATCATATATACGATGTTCCGCGATTGAAAAGACCGTTACGGCTCCTCCATTCATCTATACCACGGTTATTAAGAGTTTCGTTGAATACATCCTGGGAATTACAAGAGGATGAATATATAGAGGCTATACAGACCATTTCCTCCAATTATGTTGCTACAATGTTTCCAACTAGCTGTAACGACCGATGAAAGTTAACGCGTTCGCATAGTTTCCCTGAAATGATGGCCTTCGCGCGACAGAATACGATGAAATGCTTCGCGAAATTCGCATTTCCGTGAATACATTTCGGTATTCGCCCCCCCCCCCCCTGCGTTTCGTATCCCATCAACGCTTAAGTCACTAATTTACGTTAAATCTTTGTCCCTGTGGATTGTGCTAACGAATTGACGAATTAATAAGTTCCACGTCTCAGACAGAATTGTTAAGAGTTTCCCACAGATGTGTGTCGCTCAACAAGAAAGGAAATTACGATCGTTTCGCAGCAATTTCGTAACAATTTCATAGCAAGTTCTCAAGTGTCACCGCCGGAGAGAGAAGTCAGTGTATTCCCATGGATGACCCTAAACGACAGAATATAACGTGTTCTCCGCGAGACGTCTCGCGAATTAATTACAAGGTGATGGCCGTGTCACGTCTCTCGTTTCCCTCGACCCAAATACAGATTGATGTTAAATCTTCGTGTCGGATTGCCAACAGGTGATCAACGGATTAACGAGCGAGTGAACGTTTAAACTTTGGATGGAAGGCACTTCGCCAGGTCTTCGCCTTTCACGTAACCGAGCTCACGAAAAGTTGGCAGGTTGTCCGAACTTTTTCCCCGTTTCGCGGCGCAAGTCGTTACTCGGATATCTGTTTGCCCGTTCCAAAGAAGAACTGCAGGAACACGACATATTCCTATTAGAAATTCATCTACTTCTCTTCCTCTCTTTCTCCCTTTCTCCATTTATCTATCTACTTCTATCTTTATCTCCCTTCTCTTTTTGCCCATGAATGTTGCACATCTGGCTGCGAGAAGCAAGCGGCAGCAAAAATATCGGGTATACACCGTCGTATTTAAGCACGCCGATGGTTATCTTGATATGGAGTTCATAGGAATTCAGGTACGGACGAGAGCTGAAAATTAAGCACGTCTTCCATTTAAATTCGACCGATAATCGCGCACCGGTCGACGCTAAGCCATCCCTAAATTTTAAACGCCAGCGTACAATTCGGGCTTACCTTCTCGCGCGTTTAGCGAGAACGGCCAGAACATATCGTTAATTGCCGAGAAACAAGGAAAGCCTAGGGAAGATGTTCTTTGCCGTGTGGGAATTATCGAGATTAGTCGTAAATTTTGCGAAAAGGCTGTCGTGCCTCTAGCAAAGGCTTTTCAAACCACAGTAACTAAATGTTGTGTAAATATACCGTGGAGTTTTTTTTTAACGTATACTGAAATACTGAAAATATAACGATCACAGGATTTTTCCGGAAAATGGCCGCGCGAATTTTTCTGTCTGCCCCAATTCGGGGCCATTTGAAATTTTTGCGCGACTACGAAGCGAACCTCGTTCGAAGCAGCTTACTCGGTTCCGCACTTTTGTCATTTCTTTTTTCCCCCTTTTTTTTTTTAATTTGTAAAACTCGGTCGGTCGGTCGAGATCGAGGGTGAATTCGCCGGTGTAAAGTATGGTCGAGATTACGAGTATTGGTGCGGCACTAGTGCGGCACTACCGATCAATAGTTTGAGTACAATACGCTTTCCTCGGTGAATCCGCGCGAGTCCTCGGCAATTCTGAAAGGTCAGGAAAATTATGTCGGCGTGAGCAAGAATTTATCAGCGTCGCGAATTAAATTAATGTTGGCCTTTAATCTCGGATGATAACCACTGATGAAATTTGTGTCAACAATCCGTGTATGTTCTTCACTGTCAAACTAAGATTTCTATTATATAGTTATTGTCAATATTATAGCATTCTTTATTCGTCGCTTACATATATATGACTTTATAGTTTTTTCGGAAGCTACATATAAAACTAAATTATTACGCTGTTCTCCTAAGGTTCATCTAAAATCCTTTTCACCCATCAATCCCATTCATCCGCGAGTATAGCTCTCTTTTCTCTCGAGCTTTTTCCTTCGCCACCGCCATGTTAAAACGAGCCGGAGAAAAATCGCTACCGGTCGTTATCCATGAAGTGCACCGCGACAGAGCGATGACAAAAATTCAATACCCCAGGTTGCCAGTTCGCGACGGTGAATTTCCTTCATGTCGCCGGGCGAAAGGGTGATTCTTTTCACGAAGCCACGATACAAACGGCCACACGCAGTTTCGTCGGTCGGCCAATCGGGGCCATCGGTGTGACGCTTTGAAAGGGCTCTCTCCCTCTCGACACACGCACGCGAGTGTGTAGGTATTGTGCACCGCCAGCACACAGCACGTTCGACCTGCGGGCGAGCAATTGGGGGTATCGTTCAATTGAACGAACGGAAAATCAATCCGACAGGGTGGTAATTACGTCGTACACGAAACCGCGTCGAGGTATCCCGTCGAATCGCGGATTTATATCGAGACAAGCATGTAGGCGCCATAGGCGGCGTTTTGTATAACCCGCGCCGATCCCCCCACGCGGATTTATGCCATCGGGTTATAGTTCGCCGGGGCGATGAATGAGCCCCCGTCGGCGACAGCGGGCAAATCATAGGCATGCCGCGGATGACACGCATAGCGGTAAATCTCGAGGGTTCGGCGGCGACCAAAATCCCCCGGACATCAGATACTGGCCCACAGTATCACGGCTCGTCAAAATTGTTATTGTTCGCGATGAATCGTTCCTCCGTAGACGAGGACGTTAACACGATAGCCGCGAGATTCAACGATATACATTTCTCTTTACATTGCGCGTGATTGAAGCGCGCGACCGATTGCGGGTATATACCTCTTCGAAACTCGACAAGTTTAATTTTCATGACTGCTTTCCGTAATTTAAATCGGCGCGTATTTTTCTCAATTAAAACTTTTGCAGGAAAAATCGATTATTTACAAGTTGTTAGCGATTTTAATGGCTTCCCGCAAACTATAATTATATGGTACGATTAATTAAAGAAATCTTATTTATTTAAGTCCACGTAAATTCTTATTATAATTTTAATTTAATATTTTACTGCGGCAATAATATTAATATCGGATATTAAATTAAACTAAAAGTATGTCAATTAAAGCAGATTGAGATATAAGTAACTCTAATATTATTAAATATTATTTTAGTATTATTAATTATACTTGAGTTTTATTCCAGAGCCACAGACAAGTAATTTTATAATATATTATTAACTATAGTAAAATATAAAACTCTATTTTATAATTAATGAAGAATGCATCGAATGTTCTCAGAGAAATCGTGATATACGTTAAATAAATGTGACACGTACATAAATGTAGCAGAAAATAATAGAACAATAAATAACAGACCAATAAACGAATCGACGTCATTTATTAGCACCGCACTGTTCATTAAATCCGAAAG